AAACCCAGCTCACGTTCCCTATTCGAACAACCACACAAACTAACACTTCCACTGCAAACATCCCCTGTATTGTGTGATCTCTACCAGGCTCACCCGGGGCATTTCCTCCCCGGGCTGAATAACGCCACCCGAGCGATCCGGACTGCAGGTCCTTCGCACACGGCACGGTTTCCCGTGGGTCTGGCACGTCCCTTAAGCGGCCTCCGTGCTGGAGTGCCGCCCACACCTTTCCGCGCTCTACAGGGGCCGCTGAGAGATCGCTCTCGCAGGGCTCCCCTCGGGATTAGCGTAGGCATTGCTGCCCTTAGCCTCCCCCGAACCAGGTTGTGTCGCCGGACAGCACCTGCAGACCTTTAGCTAATATTATTATAAAGGTAAATTAACTTTACGCTTATAATTTACGCTAAGTTATACTAAAAACCTAAAATGCCTATATTTTGTTGGGTGCAAATGCGCACACACAAACACCAACCGCCAAGGCCCACGATATCCCTTGTAAGTTGTAGCGCGTAACTTGCAATTCTCGCCACAATACCGCAAGTAGCTGTAACTATCCTAAATACAACGCTTGTAAGTACAATCAAATAGTTCCGTAGAATCAATTCAATTAATTGCCGCTCTTCTCTGGAAAAACGGTAATATCTGTGGTTACTCTTCCTCTCTGGAAGAACAGTAATATCTGTAGGGGAATAATAAACTTAACTACACGATTTAGCTAGAAGCAGCGCCGGCTTATACAGGCCTTTCAATATGACGAATATCACTTTTAAGGACGAAGTTGCTTATAGGAGCGAAACTTGTTAAATTTAAGGGAAAGGGCGTAAGGCCACCTGTTTATACTAGCAAAACAGTACAATCAAATGCTTCCTCCGATTTCCTCCGTTATGTGAGCGTTGGAGCCGCCACACACTATTTATGTTAAAAATAAAAGAAAACTCAGACAGAATAATCTAATAAACTTCTTATATAAAAAGGAAGAAAAATTATAAGCAAATTTGAAACCCGCCTGGTTATTTAGCCAAAAAAATAAACCCGGCTTGTCTGTTCCAGCACGCCATCCACAATTTCTGATCCTGTCACCTTCTTACTCCAGGCTCTCTTTGTCTACTAATCTTCTCTGGGCATACACGCCTTTTTATAGGCCTTCTAGTCTGTCTTTTAATGCTCTTTACCGCAGTATGCTACTGCTTGGCATTTACTGTAGCCCTTCGCTCCTATAGTCGTACCATATACATACTTTGCACAGCTTAAGCCCCATGCAACCAGTTTGTCCTGAGAAGTCATCAAGAACCTCACCCTCTTGCCGTATTTCCTACATCATCGTTTGCATCTCCTGTCGCACCTCAATCTTACACTGCCCTCTTCCACATAAAGACGTTACCTAAACCATAATATGAGGCTAATGCGTGTGCAATAAAGATATTAGGCTCTATAGGATATTTGTCGCAAATTGCCCGCAAATTTCGTAAAAGGGCCCAGACGAATTTCAGCACGCCGCTTTATACTGCTTTATGAGAGGCATCATGGCCTAGGAGAATTATTCGTTGTATTCGCCATTATGTCCGGCACGATTCACCTTACTGATAAGGCTCCGGGCGATGCTACGGTTGTGTGTGAATTGCTTCTCTCTGAACTGGCACATGAACTCGAGTCGGACCGTAGAAGTTGCCATAATATACATTCAGACCCTCAAATGCCTTAGTAAATATGTGTTAAGAAAAGGAAGGCGTGATCAAATTACCAAGGTCTACCTAATCTTCCTCCCATCCACCCTTACAATTCTCATTACTTTTTATCCTACCTTGCGCCTTCATGACCTGTCGTCCATCAGGAATACCCTAGGCACCGTTGCCAATAAACGGCCCCCAATGCAAGCCACTATCAGAAGTTGGTGGGTGTCGCCAGGTGTCACCAGAGACTATTTCCGACATGGAAAGGCTTGCAAATAAATACCTCTCAGCCAGGCCTCATGTCATCGCGCACTCTTCAATACGTGTTTTTTTTTATCCCTGCGTCCTCAAACTTTCGTTCCTCAAGGCTTCTTGCGCAACCCGCGTGGGGGTTGCCTCTCCTGTAATGAGGGTTTAGTGCAGATAAGTTTCAGAGGTTCTGATTGGTCTAATACAGGAGACCAAACCGTAAGCGGCTTGCCCAAAAAAGCCTTGAGGAAGGAAAGCTTGACTTGATCTAGTGGTTTGTGAGAAGTTTAAAGGAAGCACTTGAGTTTTTATACGGGCTAGATGTCTCAACGCGAGAGCAGATTCAGAAGTTGGAGTAGGAGCTTCTTAGTGGCCGATTTTAGTACGAGGGTTTAGGAATTGCCGAACTAGGGGCAGACTGGGCGGAGCATAAAGAAAAGTTGTATACTTAAAGGCTTAAGAGGAAAAGTAGTTGAGTTATTGTAGCCTATTAGTTTCATGGGTCTCTGTGCTGCTGTCTTCCATCGATGTTACTGTTCCTAGTTTCTTGACGGCTGTATCTAATTTACTGATGTCTATTCTACGTCAACCTATTTCTTGGGGGGATGACAATTGCGACGTGGCTGAGCTCCGCCATCGAATACCAGGGGCAGGCCCGGGGTTGGGGAAGATTCTTCGGGATTAGCTTTGGTGGTTGGAGAAGTCGGGGCGGATATGGCCTCTGTAGTAAGCTCCGAGTGCGGGAAAACAAGTGCGCTTGATGAGGTGTCTGGCAGAGTTATATTCCTATCAGACGGGTATGCAGCTTAGTTAGCAGGGTCCAATATACGTAGTCTCTTCAAAGGAGTAGATGTATATGGGACCCAGCCACGCCAGCGGTCTAATCGCTTTAAAGGTAGAGTATCAGTCAGGGCCGGTGTTAGCGCGGACGCAGGTCTTGGTAAGTAAGCTAGGTCAAGGACTCGGAGGGCCAGGAGGTTGGTGTCCCTCGTGCGGCCGGGGATCTTCGCAGTGACGGTAAGGAGAGCTCCCGATGCTGGTGTCTTGACTTTCCACCGACGCTTGGTGTCTTCCAAGAAGCAGACTACGGAGAAGTGAGCTGGGGCTGCCTTCGACGCGTCGTAGACAGATGTTTCGATCGTGAAGTGACGGGGCTCGGAAGGGTCAAGCGAGTTGTCAGTACGGGGCGGCAAGAAGCCGATGACGGTCACCATCGGCCACCATTGCTCTGGCGGAGTCGGCGATATTCCCTGGGTGTCTAAGGCTGTCAGCTAGAGCTAGGGCGAATGTTCGGCCAGACCTGCCTCATCAAGCTCAGCGTCTGCTGCTAATTTCCAGAGTGCCGTTCATCGACAGAGCCGTGAAGAAGCGGCCGTCGGCGTAGAAGAATGCACCGGGAGGGTAGAGTTCTCGTTGTTCTTGCGTCAGATAGGTATGGGTGCGGATGCGAATGGGGTCGGTGGTGTGGTGATATTAGGATCATGGAAACCGGCCTCCTCGAAGGTGTTCAGATCTGTTTGGATTTCGACGTAGTTTGGGACATTTTCTCGAGTCGGGTCATCTGTAATGGCATCGACGAAATCCCGTAAGTGAATTATACTTGTGAATGTTCGTCGTCTAGACATGTTGAAAGAGATTTAGAATGAGTGAGAGTGAAATCCGGCAACGTAGGTCGCATCGCTGTTTCCATAGGGGAATAATTCTGCATGAAACAGATGTTTACTACGCTCTGTTATCCAGGACTGGTCGGACAGACTCTACGCGACAGGCTCAGGCTCAGGGCATGTGAGCACGTACGCAGAATTGCGTCTTCAGCTCTGAATGCTATCACATGTGTAATAGAAATGGTCCATAGCTGTTTTGTTACAGAGCAGAGCTGACGGAATCATAGAAAACACAGACTTGCTTCACAATGCTAGCCGCCGTAAGCGACAAATTCCAAATGGTCGGCAGCGCCGGGAGGTGGGAGAGGTGCCAGAAAAAAGCGATGTCAGAAAGAAAAAGCAACGTCAGAAAAGCAAAACAATATCACCAGGCCCCCCTCAGTAACTAGGGGCTATGCGGATTTAGTCATCTAGCTAGTAATTCTAAGGATTGGGTGTGGTACGTAGTGGTGTTGTTGGTCAAGTGTCTTCGGCGTGTTGCCTAGGTCTGGGAAGTGTTTCCCGTGTCTGTTGCTGCGCATAGTCTGGTCATTTGGACGGTGATTCCGAGGATTGTGGTATGTGGTGGTGTCGATAGTCAGTCATCTTTCCATGTTGCACACGAGATATCAGGGTTGGTCGGGTCATCTGCTGGTGAAGTATCGGGGGCTGTTGGCTTGGTTATCTGCCAGTAAGGCATCAGGGGTTGGCCGGGCTGTCTGTCCACGAGGTTGAGGTTGGACAGTATTTCGTGGGTGGAGGACACGATTTGTATGTGGACGTATAGTGTTTACGTGAGGAAAGGAGGCGATACGGGAAGCGGTCTGGGAAGGCATGTACGGTCTGGGGAATTGGTGGTGTGGCCGATATTGAGATTGAGAGAGGTCAGATTGAACGGGAGAGGTTTGATTTGGACGTATTAGCGCAGGAGCCGAGATGGAGTTTTGCGTGGTATAGAGGGGATGTAGAGATTCCAAGGTTATAGCTTTAGGAATAATAGAATCACGTCCACAAAACAGATAGTGAAGATTCCAAGGACGGGTCGGGGAAAATGCGAGGCGCCTGCAGAACAGCCGAGTGATGAGAGATCAGGGTGACGAATCTAGAAGCGTTGAGGCCCTGAAGACGGTGAGCTGTATCTGGGGCGGAGACAAGGTTCACTATTACCAGTGGGCGTATAGGGGAGAATGTTTCTGCAAAAAACTCTGCACAGCGGCCTGCCAGGTGAGCGACTAGGATGAAGCTGTAGTGAAGTTGAACAGGTTGATTCGCAGACGAGCTGAGCAAATTGGGCGACGCAACGTCAAGCAATCGGTCAACCCTATTGATCCGGATGATTTAGTAAATCTGAAAGCTTGGTCTTACTCATAAAGATCCATATGTTAAGAAGAACGATCGCGAAGGAATCGCGCTGTCTCTCAGAAAGCTGGCTGTCACAGATCTGCCAGCCGGTTTTGAGCTATGGTACAAACGGAAGAGCGACAATTAGGAAGCGTTGAAGAGAGTGGTTTAGGTGTGACACCTACGGCTGGTGGCAATCAAGTCCGGACGGACAGGAACCGCCGGCGGCCCAAGGCTAGAAGGCTGAGAGACGGCTCCGCAAGCAAAGCCGTTGCTAGGCCGGGGGATCTATTTCGGGCGTTCAGGCGTGTGCGACAAAACATGCGTGTTTGACATTAACAGATGCAATATAGGCTTCAAATATTATACCAGAGCTGTAAGACTATTTTGGCCACATTCTCCGAGAAAGCTCTCTAGAAGCTAAATAGTCCACTTCGTCTCTTGCCTAGTGGATACACAATAAGAGCACTCATGAACAAGCCAACACTAATGCCGATAGCTACTTGAATAACGCTGAATAAGACGTTGAATGCAGTCCCGTCCAGATTTCCGATTGTCTTGGCACTAGTGTCTACTGTAGATGTGCTGTTGCCCGTGAGTTGATTTGCGGAGGTGATACCAGCCAGCAGCGATCCGCCGGCAGCGAGTCCGGAGGGAACCTGTACGAAGATAGCGGGAAGCATGGCAGCGGCTGCAAGGCTGTAGCCAACCTTGCGCGGCTGGCGCCATTGCTTCTTTTGAGAAGCGGCGCTGGATTCAGGATCTGACATGGAAGGCAGTGACCATGCATCAGGATCTCGACAGCGGTGTCTCGAGAATCTTGGTTTAACTCGGTACTGCCACCACTCCACAACATCCAACCAAGCGTTTTCCATGTGTCTGCCCAACCTTGAGTACAGGTTTGCCAGGATACCGACTGTTAGTGCGCCCAACATATTTGAGATCTGGCTGTTTCCTTCAAAGTACTTGCTGCAGTAGCTGTTGACGCAGAAGCCTGCTAAAGCCATTATTGTCATGACTGGTGTCTGCCTCCATTTGGCTTGGTTGATAATGCAAAGACATAATGTGAAGCCCGGCACGAACAAGAAGTACCAGTTCCGATCAAGAGGATCCTTGCAATGAGTTTCGCTGGTAGCATTGCTATCCATCATTCCATATAATGAAGCTCCGATTGTGATTCCATACCCCAGAAACAGAGTGTAAATCATGGCATACACCATCCGAACGCTTCCAGCGACAATATTATGACTCTGAAGTTCCAACGAACTGCACAGGACCATGTAACCAGGTAAAATCAAAGCAATGCTACTTTGTGCTAAGGTGCTGAAGCAAAACAGCTGGCCGTTGTTGATCGATCCGAAGCCTCGGGCGAGGAAGGAAGTAATGACTGAGGCGGAAACCTCGAAAACGTGTGCGTATAGCTCGTTACTCGGGGCGAAAACAAGTTGAAGCAGACCCACAATGCATCCCAAAATGAAGGCGACAGGGAGGTCGATAAATCGACCTTCAAAGGCAAATGGCGCCACACAGGCAGATGCAATCCCATACATTGGGACTCGGAACCATGTGTGAAACTTGGGCTTCCTTTCCATGACCTTATCCAAACGATCTGTTGCTTCTTCGACACCAAGCTTGTCGTGAACAACGTCTTTGTAAATATTATGAACGTCGCGCAACTTTCCCAGGTCGATACCCTGTGGCACCCGAACAACCTTGACTTCGGCCGTATGCGTTGTGCTGTCATCGAAACTGATAATCATGCAGGACGGAATGTAGAGAAATTGCCCTTCGATTTCGAGAACGCGCGATGACATGGTCATGTACTCTTCGAGTCGATGCGTCGGCGCACCGTACAGCATGAGGGCCCGGCATAGCTTGAGGAGATATCGGTGTCGTGCTATTATGCCGGCAATATGAACTGTTATTCGAATCTGTTCCTTCTTGGGTTTGGGGGACTTGTCGGCTTTTTCTTTTTTAAACTTTTCTGACCAATGGTCGGAGATCTCGCTGGAACCCGGGGCAGCAAACATCGAAGAAGACTTTACAAGTTCAGTAAGGGAAGTCGTCGAATGACGGGCCCGATTATTGGTAAACAAACCACTAGTAAATCTTTGTCGAGATCCTCCAGCTCTAGAAGAAGGTCTCGATCCTCCAGCTTCAGAAGGAGGTCTCGAAGTCGGAGGTGAGGGGCGAGGCGACATGACAGGAGTTGAAGATGAGAGAGGCGTGAGTTGCCCGCTAGTATTGTTGCCCGGGGCTCTTCTATCATCTTGATAAAGCTTCAATAGTGAAGACAGAATACCGCCTCTGTACTTTGAAGGACGGGGGACATAGTCGTTGCCATATGTTTGGCGGGACACAGGTGTATTTGTGCCAGATGAACCAGGCTCTTCATGGAACAGATTACTCTTCCCGGCCTTTTGTGTGTGAGACCTGACCAGAGACTCCGCGGTGTCATGGTCTTCAAGAAAGCGTTGTCGGCGGCTGTAGGGGGTGCGATACCTAAAACGCTCCTTGTCGAGGTCATCATCAGATGTCACAGTAGCATCATCTGCGAAAGAGCTCCCATGATCATCTGAGTCGCGGATGAGCGGCTGGAATGAACCTTCGACGTCCGAGTTTCGCCTTGAACCAGAAGCAGAATAGCTACCCACCGATACCGCCAAACGATCTGCTCGTTGGCGTGCGTCATTCATGGAGCGAAGCTGACGCTCAGTGACCCGACTCTCCGCTTGGTCCGCCCTCTCGCGTTCCTCCGGATCATCATAACTTGTATTACGTCTCAGAGCGGGTCTTGGAGCTCGAGGGGTGGCTACAGACAAAAAGCTCTGCTCTTGCCTCCGGCTCTCTTCTTCAGTCAGGACCAAGTTGAGGGCCATTCTCAATTCCACGGCGTCAGGCGCCCCGGGAGGTGTAGAGAACAGCCCAGGTGAACCTGGCTCCGATCTGAGGTCTTTCACGCCGAGTATAGGAATGGGCGTGCCACTTCCATTGCCGCTTGTATTCCCGCTGTTACTGGTAGATGTAGCCACAGTTGAATGTAAAGTCGAGTCTGCGGCTGCAGCAGCATTTGTACTGCCCGGAGCTAGAGATGTGTTGGTGCTCGTGGTGCCTCCACCGTCGGCCGGAGAATCCGGTGAGGTCCCCTCTGCCTCTGCTTTCCCATAGTCCTGACTGCTTGAATGCCAGACGACTCGCTTCTTGGTCTTCCGGTTTGGCGTACTGGCAGTGTTGGTGTTGGTGTTGGAGTTGTCATTGGAGTTGTCTATAGAGGTGGGGTCAGGCGCCATGGTTGGGAACGAAGAATCTTGGGTGTGGTTGGCCCTGAGACAGGTCTCAGAGCTAGTTTAACCGATATATCATGAGAAATGGAGAGCTTTTGTTTTACGGGGGATGAGAGAAGAGGAGATGAGGAGAGGAGAAAAGAGAAAATCTGGCCATGAATTATGTACTCTGGAGGGAGTCGCGGCAATGGCATTTGAGGAAGCCAAGTACAAGGGGGGGGCATAACACCGGGGCCCAGGGACGCGCAAATCCGAAGCCCCAATCCATAAAGGCAAAATCTAGTTATTTTCCCTGGATCGGTAGCAACTGAGGCGCGGCGACGCAACGTTGGGAGAGGAAAAGAGGGTCGCTGTGGTCCCAGGGAAAGGATTAAAAATGGCGATGATGAAGGCCTAGTTACCTGACCCTGACTAACAAGCTAGATACATCGGAAGGACTCGAGTGTGTGGGTCACTGATACACCTCATGTTGGGATGCTGCGACGAGACTGGGCAAAGCATCGACCGGTTTGTCGTTGGTGTTTTGCACAGGCGGAGAAGTCAGATAGAGACATCGTATTTTGTGGACACATTTTTTTTGGGGGGGGGAGGTGGGAGGCAAGGAGGCCGAGAGCAGGAGGCTAGACATCCGGACCGCACCTGCTCTTTCAATTAGCGTTTCTTGTTCCGTTCCTTCCTCCTCTTCATGGTGGAGAAGGGTGTTGCAAGAAAGATACATAATATCTGGAACCTCGAGACAAGGAAGGAACTCGAGAATTCACATGATTGGGTTGCCCAATAGCTGAACCTGCCTTGTCCTCTTTCTACGCCGAGTCGGAGGATGCAGAAGCAGATCTGTGACGGTATACATACATACGATTGCCCGTGATGAAACGGGCGGTTCCTAGTGGGCAAAAATAGCATGACGTAGATTTTTTTTGTGGGTTTCTAGAAAAACAAGACCATCCCGGCAAATCTGAGGCCAACAGTCCTTATCAAGAGGCGAAGAGACGTCGACGTTTGACGATCAGAGTTTTAGACTTCCATCAGGCTGGTTGGTGGCGGTCGGCTGCAGGTCCACTGCGGGTCCCGTTTTGCACGGTATCGATCCCGGCCCCCGATTGACATGCAGCGCCCTGAGGCGCTCGGCCTTGGCGGACCCACTCATACATCACGGCAGCATGGCTTGCACGGCTCTTCCGGCACGTGCAGGCGACAGTGTAGGGACGGAAGAGAGGGGAATCAAAGCTGACGAACAAGCAGATCATTCAAGATCGTCATGGGCCAGAGGCCCAAGTTTGTCTGTGCAAGCAGCTGCGTAACCAAAGTGCTTGGTGCTCAGGTGCACCTGGGATTGGCCACGGCGCACAGCGGGGTTAGCCTTGCCTGTTCATGCAAAATGCACGGCGAAGAAGACTTTGGGACAGCACGAATCGATGCGAGTACGTATGTACAATTACAAAGCTCTGGTGGGGTTTTGCCATGACACACGACCATCCCACCGTGGAGTAATTCGACGATGAGTCGCGCAAGGCGAGCACCGTCATGACGTGCCCGCTATTTTTGCTTTCTTGTTTTTTCTCCGTCGCTACTTTTCTGCCAACCAAGCAGTCGTGGCGTCGAGGGAACAATAAATTACTGTGCTTGCTACGGAGTACTTGCCTCGCGTTGATGTGGCCGAGGGCCGAGTTGTTCCAGAGTGAATGTTGTCCGTAGCAAGCATCCCAGTCAAGCTAGACGACAGGGACCTGGGCAAGGAAACCAGGTTGCCCGGCTTATCCTCGATAGATTGGCTACATTGGATCATGGCAAGGGAGCTGCGTTTGGCAATTGCACTGCACCATGGTCCTTTTGGAGACTTGGACACAGCAAGCCAATGTCGGATGGAGGATGACGGGGCTTGGAGATTGTGGCCAAGTATGAAAAGACGCACTGGCAAAGGAACTAGACATGCGCCCACGTCGCACATTCATCAGCGTGCTACAGGAAATGCCTCGATGCTATTGCGTTCAGCGTGCCATTACTAATACATCAAATGCGTGGATCGCCATGCGTCACTTGTTCGTCTTCTTCGGCCATTAGTGTTCCCGGCCATCCTGTCTTGAACCACGTCCTCGATGGAATAGTTGAAATTCGAATTTCCACCGGTTTGGGTTGGAGCTTTATGCGACCGTTGGCGGCAGCAATTCATGCCTTTATCGGCAAACTTGAATGTTGAGGCTCCATGGTCCAGTCCGGAGTGCTTGATGAGCGGCAAAGCTGCATTTCGATATTGGAACTCCCAAATTATTATTGGCCTGGGAATAATAATAAACCATGGATTCGCTTTCCTCATCTCATCTAGCCCCAGCCTGGCACGGCCCCCTGTGATGGAGCCATCGATGATGCTGCTATTCCATAATGGGTATCCCGACTTCCTCAACCGCCCTGGAAACCTTCGGAACTCTGATATCCCAGCCCAAACATCCCATGTCGCGGCCCAAAGATTGGGCAGTGCCAAGAGAATGGCCGTAGTCCCATGTTCTAGAATACTACTTTACATATCAACTGCGGGAACTCGGCAAACAAATCTATACTGCACATGTGCCATGATTACATACCCTTGCTTTTCGCTTCTGTGTGCCGAGAAACTGGTCCTTGTCGCAGATTTCGAGCCCCAGTTTTTGCTTCAATGTCTCCTAGGATCCCTGATCCTGAAGATGTCTGGTACTACTTGTTGCCAAAAGTGGCGCGATCTTGCATGGCGCAAAGTTTGCCGACACAGATCAGGAAAAATGTGAAGAGAGAGTATGTCCGGGGACCGTTGCAAGTACGCCCATACACTATAGCGGGATGAGGTTTATTTTGAACAGCATGTCGGACATTTTATATGACGTGAGGAATTTTGAGGGTGTTGAAAATGTTGAAGAGTCTTGTGTAAGATGTTGAATGCAAGTGCTAGAAGCAACATTGAAGGCACAAGGGGAATATTACGACCTGGCCAGGACAAGTCTACCACGTGAATCAGACGTGGTAGAGACGGCCCATACAAGGTCAGATCTAACAATATACAAGAGGGACTCAACCGAGTACAGCCAAAAATAAAACATCAGCTAATGAGGGCACTGGGGAAATGGCACAAAACGGCAGCCACGAGGACCCATGTGTTGAAGCGTAAGCTGCTCCAAGAGCATCCAGCATAAACATAGCCCACCAGCAAGACATGTCCCATCTGGCTAAATGGGGTATTTTCTGCGTCTTCTGCAATACGCCACTGCATCTATCAAGCGGCACTTCAAATGTTGACTCCATCCTTGCCGAATCTCCGAGCAGCTCGGCGGAGCGACTAGGCTTACCATGGTTTAGTGTCGACTGGCCAGTTCAGACTTGGTCATAGAGGTGCATTTTATGTCCCCGTTTCAGCTGTATTCTGGCAACACCTTCGTTGCGTCTTTGTAGCATTGACTTCTTTCAACACCAGAGCCCAGTTCATGGTCAAGTTTTCCCTACAAAATATTTCATTCTGCACTGTCCAAATGAAGTTATTGAAAGACACACCACCTACAGCCGGAGCGGCAAGCCCGTCATCGTTGTCATCAGAAACTTCTCAAGAGACGGAACCGATACCGATATGTGGATTGGATCGCTCGAGGCCAACTTTGGCGACAGACGCAGAGTATGGACAAGAGAGGGCTGGGACATGCTGTTGTCAGAGTCACAGGTCTGTGCCGACTTGCCAGTTTTTCACTCCCTAGCTCGCAGAAACCTATCCAGAGGCCAGGCCGTCATGCTCAACCGTGACCCGGAGACATGGTACGAGAGTGTTCTGAGCAGTGCATACCCTTCATTCCTAGCCACAGTTCAAGGTATGTGCTGCGCAGCTTTGGACACACATGAGCGCACCTAGGTTCGTTTTAATATCTCCATGGGCAAGAACGGTATGTCCTACGACCACAGTACGGAGAAGAACAAGGCCATTACTTCGCTTAACAAGTCAATCCTACAAGAATATCCGCGACTCCATCCCAGAGGAGAGACGCCTTGAATTCGCCGCCCAAGACGGTTATGGGCCGCTGTGCGAGTTCCTCGCTGTTCCAGTGACAATAGTCAATGACGAAAGGACTAATGAAGTAGTGGTGGCTCCTTTCCCTCGTGTCTATGATCGCGACTCTTTCGGCTCGCTCTTCTCCATGATTGACGCTGAAAAGCAGAAAGGGGATGCCCAGTGTGTTCAATGTTACCTTGTTGGGAGAGATTCTGTCACCTCATGCACGTCTATTGGCCAGCCTCGTGCAAAGTCAGACACGGTTGATGGACACGACTTGACGATGGTGTAATTAGTCTACTTGTTGAGTTATCAACAGCAATTCGGGGCAGTGGAAAGTTGCACATCAATGATAGAAGGGTCAAATCGACGATATTGATAATCGTTGAAGACGCGTATGCTAAATCCTTTCAGCTGCAGACAACGGTTACCTCGAGTCTTCCCCTAGATGGGCCATGGCATGGCCTCCTGGCCCAAACATCTACGCCACTCATTTCACGGCTTCCGAATACTTTGGCAAGGGGCCTACGGTGGCGATACCTGAGACATTCAGACTGGACCAGACTCTACAAATCTCCGTCCAGAGCCCCAACCACACGCCCTTCATACCGTGCAGCACTTTAGCTTTTGGCTTTTGCTGGAAGGATGACCCTCACGACCTATGGTGATTTCCAAAGTTGGGACACAAAGAACGCCCTACCGGTGACGGAGCGATGCCCTTGTGAAGGAACAAAGAAAAAAAGAAAAAAAAGGAAGGGTGAAGTACTCCGTAAAGGCAACCGGTGAAGGTTTGCCATGTGAGACGTGGGTTCCGTGATGGAATGAATCCTGTCTCAAGTGACAGGCCGAGATGAAGAGTTTGGCGCATGAGCTCCAGGGGTGGATCGTCTTGCATTTTATGTCCGGTACTCCGTATATCTACGTCTCTCTCTCTCATTTCTTTCTTTCTTTCTTTTTTTTTTTTAAGGAAGAAGGTTGCGCGATAGTATTACGCTTTGCTTGGAGTACGTATAGGTAATTGTGCGATGACATCGATGAGAGCCTGCGCGTGTATAACTTTGTTCCCTTGAGGTTATATTCTGGTGAAACTAAAAAAGAAAGGAAAAGACGATAGTCATCTACTGGAGACTGAGAGCCGGAGAATTTGAGAAATCACCAGGTTTAACAAATGAAACATTTGTCGAGATTGCACAAAAAACGTCAATAGGCCACACACCCATTCATCACCGCACGCCCAGAGCTTCCATCGTGAAACCCCGAAGCCCCCCCGGCTCGCATGACCCACAGCGCAGCATCCCAGAAGATGGCTGGATTTAACGCCATCGACCCCTCCATCGTCCTCCATCGTCCTCACCCCGTCACCTGAGTGGCCTTCCCTCATACATCGTGTTCACGATGGGAGTCGATCAAGTGTGACGTCTGGACTCTGTCCGCTGTGATTGTCATTACGCTTCGCACACGGGCCTTGCACGGTTGCATTCACGTACAACCCTCTATTTGCGACAACTCACCGAACATTCCGTCGACCGCTTCTTGCCAGGGCGTGCGACACGACGACTGTACATGTGGTGTTTGGTCGTCATTTCCACGAATCACTCACCATCTATCCTTCGTGCTTCGGTGAGGGGAGTGTAGCATCCCAATATCAAAAAAATCCACCAATGTATAAGACATTGACGAGGCAAGTGCGACAGCTTGCAGGTGGCGACGTGGACGGCATGAGGTGAAGAGTCAACTGCTACCGAGTACGATAACCCCTGAATCTTTACCAGCAGCCATCTGAAAGTTTGCTGTACGCCACCCAGAAAGAGACTGGACCTATTATGTCAATCCTACTCCGTACATACATACATTCTAGCTCCGGGTGTATATGCATTAATACCCGTGAGTCCGCGACAGACCCCAGGTGTTGTGCAGCCAATCGACTACACGGTGTAGATTCGGAGAGCGCGTACTCCGTACACAAACATTCAACATTTATTACTTCTAGGAGCTTCTTGCAAGTCTATGTAGGACTAGCTCTTTACTCCGTACAGGGGTCTACTACTCCCCGATAGAGCATACTAGCCATCACTCACATGGAAATAAATACTTGACTTTTTAACGAAAAGGTAAGCAAGGTTGATGTTCCTCATTACCACCCCTGCAAATCACTTACCAGGCATTTACCTCAAGTAATTGGATCGCTGATGCAGCAGGGCCCCCATGCTCTATTGACCTTGTTAGGTCACGGGTGGTTCATCGTACAGGGGTTGGAGTGTAAAGACCCGACAGGACAGAGTATGTATGTACATCGAGTTAGGGAGTCCCCTGTTCACAGCTTCCTTGTCAAGTAGCAAATTGCCAATAAAACAGGTGTTAGAACGGGCTCATGGTTCAAAGTCCAGTATCCTCGTTACGCGACATGGGTTCACGTGTCTCTGAACACCAACACACGCCTGACCACCTAGCTCTTCGGGTTTGGGGTTATCTTCCCGAGCCAGTAGGGAAGGGAGGTTTACAAACGTCCGGTAGCCACACCCGAAGTTGGCGTCGATGTCCTTCTAGGTGCAGGCACGGGTAGGTGTTCCCGCCGCCTCCCGTACTGGTGTGGAAATAACAGCACCTGAGGGTTTAGAGACCAGGGCAAGTGGTACGTAGTTCAAGCGTAAGGATTCAAATTACCATGGGCCCGGCTAGTTGAGACTGTGGTGACAACTGGAAATATCAAAGCCGTTGCAACGCCTTGTTTGACGCGGGCGCCATGTTGCGATAATCAGAGCTGAGAACCAGTCATAGATTGGACTTTGAGCTTTGCAAAGAGCATGATGAACGAGCTGCCAAGCAGGGATGCTGTTGCTTCGGCTCATGACGCTGTATCTTTGTGTGATTTTTTATCTTAGGGGGTTGGGTCTGGCATGCTCAGTGATACTCGATACATAGCGAACTCAGTCCTTGGTGCATGCGCTTTTGCTGAAATGTTCCACTGGCTCTCAACATCTCTTGCGTCGGTCTGTGTCATCCTTCTCCCGACTACATTGGAAGAGAAGTGTGACTTTATCAGCTGCGTGACATCCTTGTCATAGGTGCCTGAAACACTTTCTGTAGCCTTGTAGGTCGCAGCGGCGTAGTATCTGAAATATTTACCTTGAGTTCCGCATCGCGATTGATGTAGTATTTCTCGAGGCCGTCGAAATGCTTCTTGATCAACAGAGTAGTGTATTCCTCGTGCCGCAAGTCAGTATCTCCTTCGGGAAGTGTATCTGCTCATCCCCCAGTGACCGGTCAGGATATACGATATCAGAAATGAAGCTAGCGGGTATACATACACTCGTCGTGGCTGCCGTGTGAAAGGGCCCATTTTCCCGAGCTGAGTAACACTACATGCATATTTCTCACTTTGGAATCGCCCTTCTGCAGCTCTTCAGCAAGTAGACATGCGACTTCCAGATATAAAACCCAGCAACCCACGTTGTCGTGAGATGAATCCAGGGCTGCTGGCTGACGACCGTCCTGGATCCCATGCCGGGGTTCGACCTTCTTCTTGCTGTGGCCATCCTGAGCCAGATATTCTTTGTTCAAAAATCTTGGCAAATTCCTGGCACAAGTCTGTTGCCAAAGTCTATGGGAAGTAGATTCTCCCCCGAGCGGCTGCTTGCTGAACAGCCTCGCAGCCGATCATTGCCGCTCGTGCTTGCATGTCCTGGACGTTTTTACCTCACGCGAATCGGACAGTATGTCGAGCTTGGTCTTAGCCGACATGGCCAACAAGCCTAGTAGATTCTTCCAATACTCGTGGGCAACTCGGTATTTGACATTGAACTAGGTATGCTCACTGAGGCCCTTGTCAGCCTCGGCGAGAGCAATAACACCGTCTTCGTCCCTTTCTGGCCGTCTTCCCCACGACTTGTTGGCATGTTCATTCCAAAATAGACGTTAACATGAATGGATGGTTTTGGGCAAGTAAGCTGGTGCTCTGTATAAATCACAGTGTGCTTCTTCTCAAGCGAGCTGATCTGGAATTGAAGGTGAGGTTGAGGGTGATGAGGCGATCATCCTTTCAAGCTGCTACAAGAGCATCCCGAAGACCTGGTCCCCTCGTGGCAAAAACTGTCAACACATTTGTAACCGTTTTATTGATAACATTTTCTGTCTCGCTAAGTATTCCAAGCTTCCTTGTTGGGCGTATTTTTCGTATTGATTGCAACACTTCCTTGACCGCACGATCTCAAGACTCAACGTGCGCCTTCTTTAACCATCCACAAGTCTTTGGGAGACAAACTACAACATGAGATTCGCATTCCGCACCTTTGTCGATGACTTTTCCTTCCCCTCCCTTTGCAAAAATGAAAGAAAAAAAAAGCTGAAGGAGATTGGCTGCCATAAAGTAAAATAAAAAACCATTGCAACTATAAAACATTTAGATACAATAAACAAAATACAAAATACAGTCGCCATGCCTCATGTACGCTCGAGATATGTGTTGTACTCCCTCTCATGTAGTAGTTACAGTCGATATGTGAGAGTCTCTAGAAACTGCTGTTCTTCCTGAGTAAGAAACATATGCTCCGGAATAACCACTTCTCCCTTTCTAATCACAACTTCCCCGGCATGTTGATGAGCGTGAGTGAACTTCACACACATGCCTCCGGTCTGATCTCTGTCGCTAGACTCGGCGTCATTCTCGCTACCATCAATAGTCGACTTTTTAGGAGTGACTGCCGGTGCCGGCGCTGTAGGGCTGTCTACTGTTTTTTCTTCGTCTATGTCGTCCTTCTTTAATTCGGCTGAATGTCGTCTACGTAATATGGATTTTCTTCCTTTACTGAGGTCTTCGGGTGTCCACCAGTAGATCGGGAAACGTCTTTCCAAGTTATTGACCAGCAGGGCCACACCAAGCATAAGCGCACATCCCAGCAGCATAACCGGGAGCATGAACCACCCGATGTGAATCAAGGTATCATCAACAACGGCAAGCAGCGCCGTGGCGCCCGCAGGTGGGTGCACAGTCTTGGTCAAAGCCATCAGAGAAGTTGCGCAGGCGCAAGCAAGAGCTCCTCCAACCCATTGGATGTCCTTGAAGCTATCACTCAGCTGGAAAAGCTTACCGATAGCAACTCCAACGAATGTCGAGATGAGTTGACCTATGATGGCGTTGCGAGGTTGGGCAAGGGGCGATTCGATGGCGTAAAACTCCAGAACCGCAGCCGCACCCTGTCGTGGCCATGGAATTGTTGGTGTCTGCTTCATGGGGCATGGCTGGTACGAAAACTTACAAAACTGCCCACAATGATGGGGGCTCCTCGCGCCTGGAATGACGGCACTCGCTTCGACACAGCTTGTATCGTGAGAATAGCCGCAAAGACGCCAATGAAGGCCCAGAAAACGGGCATCAGGTTACCGGCATCCTTCGGCTTCGCCTTACGGTATCCGAACCATCTTGCCACGGGGTAAGGCAGGAAACGCCATGGCGGCGACGGCACGAACGGATTAAGGAATCGATCGATGTCGAAGTTCCACGTCCTGTGAGGCAGAGTCATGGTATCGGCGACGGCCTCGCAGGCTCCAGCCAGGCGGCCGAAGGAACGGACCACACAAAGAGAGTTGGAGCGTTCGGATTATGTGGCGGGTCAGCGGAAGTCGTCGTGTCGCATGATGATGGTCAGGACAATGTCGCTCGAATTCACAA